TCCCAGCTATGGGCGTATGGTTGACACCAAAACTGAGGTAAAAAGCATTATAAAGGTATAGAAGTGTGTTTTAATACCAGAAAAGCTTTATAAAAAAACTATTACTAAAAAATAATATTACCAGCTATAAGTTTTTGAAAAAATAATATTACCACCATCTATACGTTTTTTGGAAAAATAATTTTACCAGCTATAAGTTTTTGGAAAAATGATATTACCAGGCTATACGTTTTTTGGAAAAATGATATTACCAGCTATACGTTTTTTGGAAAAATAATTTTACCAGCTATAAGTTTTTGGAAAAATTATATTACCAGCTATACGTTTTTGAGGAAAAAATATTAAAAGTAATAGATTTTTGACAAAACAAAAATATTACCAGGAAATAAAAAGTTGTCGGCATTAAATGACCCATTGAGGTTGATATACCTTAAAACAAAACAAACCAAACCACTGGGGAAGGTAACAGAATAATAACAGGTAGATAACAGAATTCAAATCCTGCCTTCTATCTCGGGCAAGATAGAAGGCAAGTACCCACAGTACATGTAGTACCCCAACGACCCTCATGGGTCTGGGGATTCGTGATCGCGCGATATTCACTGGTTCCATACTTTTAGCCTTGTGCTAAGCTAGGCTTACAAAATCATTAGGCTTAGAAAATCTGATGTAATGGTTAACAGGCTAGTTTCGCTAGATCAACTACGACAGAATAACTGGTTGCTTCAAGCTTTCGAAGCCACATATAGTCTAGATGTAGGAAATTAATTAAGAAATTAATTCTTAACAAGCTATTTTCGCTAGATCAATTATGACTGAGTAGTGAGTTCGTCCTAAATGGTGCTCTAGACTTTCGGCCTTGTGCCACATCTAATGTAGCCTTAGGAAATCAGATTGTATGCAGCTGGGAATTTGTGACCCAAAAAAAACAAATAAATATGAATCAACAGACAAATAGATTGAACAGTCGCAAGTGAGTCCCCGAAGAGAGTTAATGTCGACTGCTTTTTGTCTAGATGTATTATGACAAATGTACAAGCATTGAAAATGTGTCACCGGTTCAGCGTATCGATTAATTTGATTGCCTCTTGGGTTTGTATTGATCGATATTATTGAGTTTATTGAGCTATGCAGTGTCTGACGACAAATCGCATTATTTCTTCGTTGAAGCAAACGGCAAAAAATAACACACACACACAACGTAAATGTAATTTTTATTTTATTTAATTCACCTTAATCAAGTGGATTTATAATTTGATTTTTGATTTTATTCGTATCATCCCATGCAAGGCAGTAAAGCCACTAAGACACAAAGGGTTACAGAGTGTGGAAGAATTAGAAACAGAAACATTAATAATGAACGGGAAGAAAAAAGAGTAATCAGGAAGACAGTAGATAGCGATTGATATTTCATTTAAATGTTTAAAGATTAAAGTTAGATAGAAAGCATGGAGCCAGAAGGGAGTTCCATATGCAAGGCAGTAAAGCCACTAAGACACAAGGGGTTACTGGGTGTGGAAGAATTAGGAACAGAAACATTAATAATGAACGGGAAGAGGAAAGAGTAATCAGGAGGACAGTAAATAGCGATTGACACTGAATTTAAATATTTGAAGATTAATGTTGGCTGAAAAGCATGGAGACAGAAAGGAGATGGCTAGAAGGTTCCATCTAGCTATTTCAACTGTAATACGATGAGACCTTGCCGCCAATCTAGTACTGTACTTGAATTCATAAAGTCTAAGTACCATAGCGGAAAATACATCAACACAATTACGATGAAAGTATTTATAGAAAAGGCAGAGGGAAGCTACATTATGTAAAAATGGAACAAACCATATTTACAGAAATAAGATTTCTCGAATATTAAAGATAAACGGAGCGTCCCCTCAAATATGGGTATCCACTAAATATAACGTTTAATAATAATAATAATCTATATATATATATATATATATATATATATATATATATATATAGAGAGAGAGAGAGAGAGAGGGAGAGATTTTTATTATATATATATTATTACATATATATATTATATATAATATATATGTGTGTGCGTGTGTGTCAAAATATATAGAAAATAGGAAAGAACTCATTAGGTAAATAATCCAAAGTTCTTTAGTATTTTCGTTATTATTTAAAAAAAAACAGTACTCAATACAAAAGTAGAGCCTAAATATAATTATTTATTTAAAAATATGATTCCATCGCTACATAAGTGTTCTCATGTTTCAAAATTGAAGTTTTCGGCTCTTGTTTGGAAACATAAAAACTCTTATGTAGCGATGGAATCATATTTTTAAATAAATAATTATAATATATATATATATAAATAAACAGTGACAATTATAGCTATATATAGCGAGACTCTTCGCCAAAAGTGAATTGAGTCACTGTCGGTCACTGTGTGTGTTTCTAAAAATAAATACACTAAAATTGAACTTCACCCCTGCAGTGCGCCGACTGAATCTACCAATTCAGTCGGGTTTCGATCCCAGCTAGAGGCAACCGGATGTCTAGCCACACTGATGAGCTGTGAAACAGCGAAACAGTCTGTCTGTGGATATATATATATATATGTTAGATTGAGAAATAAGAATGTACAATTACTTTCCAATTTTAACAGAAGAATCGTAATGAAGTCGATAATAAACGAAAATGACATGTTCATCATTAAATAATCATAGCTAAGGATGGGAAGCTCGGGAAAGATTGAAAGAAAGTTCAACTATATATATATATATATATAAATATATATATATTCCAGGATAATTTCCCAACTTATTCAAGATAATCTTTCTAACCTTGTAATCTTTTGTCCTGGATTAGCAATGTCCCTCGTGCGTTTCACGTATGATTTCATTTTCAAGTGTTTTTTTTTCCACTGCCCTTTGGACTGTCATCGCTGAAACTTCTCTCTCACGTTCCAAAAGTCTTATGAATTGAGTTGGATTTTTTTCTAATTAATCTTTTTATCTCTAAGTTTAAAATGATGATCCCTTTCCCTTTTGTGACTTCCTGATCAATTTTCTTCTTTACTGTTCCGACTTTTTAAACTTATTCACCGTTCTCTTGATGGTTCTTGAATGAACTTTGAAGACAGAAGCCAGAGTATTAATGTTAGTATCATTACTGAAGTCCGGAATGACCTTTTTCCTCTCACCATTTCTCAGCTGGGAAGACAGTGGTGCTGACACAAAATGATTTTAACTTGTTCTTTTTCCAGCTGAATAACTCAATATATATATATATATAGATAGATATATATATATATACACGCATATTGTCAACTGAAAATATGAATACAATAGCATTTTCTAAATTCATCTGTGTGCTAAGGACATTTTGTTTGTTATTAATAGTGACTTTAATTTCAATAAATTCATTTGATTTTTGCCTTGAAAAAACATTGGACTAAAAGTTTCGGCTAATAATACAGTTTTCCTATTGTCTTTTACCTTTATAAATATGGTCTTTTTCTACAGGTTAACATTTTTCATATATATATATATATATATATATATATTAAATACTCCTGTCGATTTTTGACGTATGTGGATCCGACAACCTCATTCAGTTTTTATGGTTGTATCGTATTTGACACTTCAGTTCCGCTAGTGACCTGCATACAAGCCCACATATTGTGCAACACCGAGTATCTCGGGACATAGCAACAGAGTCTCTGCCGATACTTTTCACCGTTGTCTTTCATCTCTTAGCCGGTCAATACGACTGATTTCAAAATTTCTGACGCAACTCTCCAGTTATTTCCATCCAAGGCAACTCATTCGATGTTAGTATGAGGCACATTGACAGCTGATTGGTTACTCTTTAGCTTCTCTATACCTTAGCCACGGCCTTCCAATAGTCCTTTGTCCACTATCAAGCTGGCTATACATGAGGACCTTAGGTATTCTTTCGTTACTCATCCTTACATGCTCAGCCAAGCAAATTTGTGACTGCATCAGGAAATTCTCATTTCTAACAATGTTGCATTTTTCAAGAAGATCACAATTGGTTACCCTATCCTCAAAAAGATAGAAACAAATCACGCGTAGATAAATTTGTAGAAGACATCCAGCTGATTTATATGGGACGTATATGGGGTCCATGATTGTGAGGTGTACAACAACATCATCAAGACGGCTGCTCTATAAGGCTGTATTTTGTGATCGAATATGATAGTCACTCTTTCTAAAGGAGGTGGTGAAGCTTACCAAATTCCGAGTTTTTACTTTGGCATCAAGAGATGCATTTGCATATATATATATATATATATATATATATATTCATCGATAATACAAATGCACCTGCAGACGCATAAGATGAAAAGTGAATAGATGTAATACTGTCAATAATAAAATATTCCTATTTTTGATCTTGTTAGCAAAATAAATCGATTGAATCATTTTTATGAGTCACTGAATGTAGAATACTTTATTTTTCTTTCCTTATTGTGTGAGGATATTGACGTAGATAGATAGATAGATAGATAGATAGATAGATAGATAGATATGAACAGTATGAAATATATATATATATATATATATATATATATATATCACTTGAAATTTTGAATTTAGCGTTGCGACTTGTACGTTCCGAGATTGTACAAGAGTCAATAAATAGCACATTCTTTAAAAAAACATCTTTCGGTCTACAAACAATTATTTCGTCTTCAAGTTTTGATTTTAATGGAATAAATTACAGCCTGATGATGAAGACACGGATCTCTGAAAGTAATTTGCTTAACTTAAAAAAATATACACTAGAAACATCTGACAACAGTTTTATAAATGAGGATCACATCATTCAATGGATTAACAGTATTTTAATACATACATTATGTTCTACTAGCGAAGTGATTTCGCCATTAATCGCATTAATACTGCTGATTGATTCTATGTATGATCATTTCTTTATATATATATATATATATATATATGGAGAGATAGATAGATAGATAGATAGATAATGACATAGATAGATTAGAC